TTTAAGGTTATGTGGTAAAAGTAAAAACACTGGGCCATTTGTTTAACCCAATTTAATGTTTTACAACCAACAAGTAAGCCCTGAAACATTCTCCGTGTATCTTTGTAAGAACTTGTCTGTCCTATTGGCGATGTCGGAGAACTTGCTTGTGGTGTAAATAGTATTAAAAATAATATTAAGGCACAAGGTTTCTTCCGGATGTAGCGGAAACTAAATTAATTTTGTTGATTTCATATACTACTGCCATGCACCAGAAAAAATAATGAAGTATACTGTAATAATAATAATAATAATAATAATAATAATAATAATAATAATAATAATAATAATAATAATAATAATAATAATAATAATAATAATAATAATAATTCTTTAGTGTGTTCATCATAAATAATTAGCAAGACATGTTGCAAAAATTTTCATTTCATTATGTATGTGAAGAATGAATAATACTCACTCAACAGCTGTTTAGATTGTTGAGATAGCAACTTTTATCAAGGTAGCTACTTTCAACAAGGACTCCTTTAATTGCCTAACTTACACTACAGACGGGCAAAGGGCGACCTAATCGAAGTGTATAAACATCTCAGAGGGCACTTCTAGGTCGAAAGTACACTCTCCCAAAAAAGGATCATAGCACAAGGTTGAAGAAGCCACTAGTCCAGAAAACAGTGAGGGCAAACTTTTTCGGAGTGAGAATTGTAAACTCTTAGAACAATCTGCCAGAGTGCTGTGATGGCACCGCATGTGAGCTCTTTGAAGGCCAGACTTAATCAACACAGTTCACGGATGATGAAAAGAATAAAAGGATGGATGGATAGATCCCTCACCCAAAATAATATCACTCCCGTTATATCAATGCTAAATATTTCATTGTTTGAATAAATATCATGAGTTGTTTTCAAGCAACTTTGCCCCAGTCTTGGTAAGAAACTACTGGTTGAAGACATAAGTAAAAGATTGAACATTAGTCTTTACCTTTACCCTAAACACTGGTAAACTTGATACAGTAATTACATTAATCACTCTGTCTTACTTTTGGATTTTAAAAAATAAACTCGTTTCTTTTCAGAGATACCGCCCAGAAAGTTATACAACTTTGTTTTTTTTTATCATATTCGCAACTTATCAGCTTACTAGCCATTTGGGCGGTTTATCCAGTGTTAGTACAGGAGGAAACCGGGGACCGGGAAACCTGTGGTGTTTGGTAGGGTCACGCTGGATAACACCATTCTCACGTGGGTCGAACCCTTTTTTACTTTTTACTTTTATCCTCTTCACCACTGATCGGCTCGTTAGCCGCTTGGGCGATCGGTCACGTCTCTGTTACGCACTGTTGGCAAGTACTGGGCATGCACCGGCTCCTGAATGTACATGAACCTGCTCCAGTGTTGGTCAAGTCTTGTCTTGAAAGAGCTCACACTCGGTGTCGTCACAACACTTTCTGGTAGATTGTTCCAAGAGTTCACAACTCTCACTCCGAAAAAGTTTGCCCTCACAGTTTTCTGGGCTTGCGGCTTCTTCAATCTTGAGCTGTGACCCCTTGTGGGGCGAGCGTCCGCCAGCTCCAAGTAAGGACACTAGACTGAGTAGTGCCCCTTGAGATGCTTATACACCTCAATTAGGTCCCCCCTTGCCCGTCTGTAGTATAAGCTAGGCAAGTTCAGGCGCTCCAATCTCTCAGGGTAGCTGAGGTGCCGAAGTGCAGGCACCAGTCTGGTGGCCCCCCTTTGAACATTTTCAACCAACTGGCAGTCCCTAGTATATCTCGGGGACCAGACGGGGTGACAGTACTCCAGATGGGGAAGCACTTCACTCTTGAAGATCGTTACGAGGGACGGACCGTCTAGATATCTGAACGACCTTCTTATAAGACCCAATAATTTATTTGCCTAATTTACCTTCTTCTCGCAATGGCCCGAGAACTGCAGCTCATTGTTAACATACACACCTAGGTCCTTCTCACATTCAGTCTCAAATAGAGCAGTTTCTTCATCCCGTTGGGACATATGATACGCCTCCTTACCGTTGGTACGCCCCAGGTGCATCCTCTTACACTTCGTGACATTGAATCTCAGCAGCCATTTCTTCGACCATTTTTGGAGCCCACAGAGGTCCTTCTGCAGCTCTTCACAGTCCGCTTGGTTCTTGATTTCCCGAAATAACTTGGCGTCATCGGCAAACATTTGTATGGAGGAGTGTACAACGTCAGACATGTCATTTATGAAACAAACAAACAACAGCGGGCCCAATACACTGCCCTGTGGTACCCCGCTTGTGACAGATACGGATGATGATTTCGTGCCATTAATCACCACACACTGCTTGCGGTCATGTAGAAAGTCTTCCATTCACGCTAGGACATTTCCCCGAATTCCGTACCCTTCCTTGTTTGATTTTCAGCCTTTCTTGGGGTACACTGTCGAAAGCCTTGGCAAAATCTAGGTAAATATTTTCGATATTACCACCTAATTCCAGAATATGGGTCCAAATATCCAATACCTTGAACAATTGTGTTAAGCAGGAGCGCCCCGGCATAAAACCGTGTTGGCAATCCTTTACAAGGTTGTTTCGGAGTAGATGTTCTATTGCAGCATCTCTGATAATACTCTCAAGTACTTTATGTCGTATGAGATCAAACACCTTCAGTAATCAAGGCTTTATTCAACTCATAAATCCATATACATCTGCAACAGAACAAAACAAAACCCAATTAGAACAAGAGAACATTCAGAGTAAAGGTAAACACAAACATAATTTATTCCATAATATGACATTCACCTCTGCCAACATAATCAATCAAACACCATAGCCGTATCGCTGGGGTTCTCTTCGCTGCTGAGTAGAACGACAAAGAGGTAACTCCTGCATGATACTAGGATTCACCAATGGCGTCCCGGTATCTCCCCCTGCAGCAACTCCCTCACCATTATCCAATGTTTCTGGCTCCACTGAAGGTGAGGTTGATCCAGCAGAGATGTCTGAGGATGAGGTTCCACCAGGGCATGGAGCAAGATCATGGAGGGGAACTGAAGATTCACGTCCATCTGTATACTTGATGTGTGCATACTTTGGTTAGCCTCGAGGAGCTCCACCTCATCAACGAGAGGGTCACCTTTGCTTGAGCGGATGAATCGGCGTAAGAAGACAGGACCTGGGGTCGTTAGCCATGTTGGCAAGGATGTACCCTGACAAGATCGTCTTGGAAAATTGAAAAACCTCTCATGTGGAGTCACGTTGATGGCTGTTGAGAGCAATGATCTAATGGAGTGAAGTGCTTCAGGTAGGAGAGCCTCCCATTCAGTATCCGGAACATTTGGCAGCTAAGCATATGGACTTCCAGATTATGCCATTGTACCGTTCTATTTGACTGTTTCCTGTTGGGTGGTAAGGTGTAGTTTTGCTGGACGCCACTCCACGACTAGCGAGATGAGTTTTCACTTCACGAGACATAAATGCCTTCCTCGATCAGAGTGGACAAAACTCGCCATACCACAAAGCGAGAAGATGGTGTCCAGACATCTGATGACAGTTGAGGATGTCATGTCAGCACATAGAATAGCAAATGGAAATCTGGAATATTCATCCACAGCAGTGAAGGGATGTGAGTTTCTCGTGCGTGATGGAAGAGAACCTTTGAAGTCAATGTTCAGTCTATCCATTGGTTGAGTAGCTTTGTTAAGGGTATTTTCAGTAGGCCTGTGAAATGATGTCTTGATTTCAGCACATACACAACAAGTTGAACAGACCTTTTTCACATCCGTAGAAAATGGGAGGTTCTTTGTCCGGACAAAATGAAGCATTCTGACAACCCCCGGGTGGCAGAGCCCTTCATGGATGACAGCGGGGTTTGACGATAAAATGGCTCCGTAGAATGCTCGGGTGAAAGTGTCAGAAGCAACGTTGTCTCTACCTGGCCGATACCAAATGGAATAGCTGAAACAAGCGAGTTCGAGCCGCCACCCTTGTATCTTGTCATTCTTCACTTTAGTCCTACTATTGTCCAGCATAAATGCAACTGATCGCTGGTCAGTAACAACGGTGAATTGCCGTCCCAACAACAGGTGAGACCATTTTCTCACCGCTTCAATCATTGCAGTCACCTCCTTCTCAACAGGAGGATAGTGAATATCACTGCCAGATAACATCCGACACATGAAGGCTACTGGCCGACCAGCTTGATTCAAAGTAGCAGACACGGCCACATCCGACGCATCACACTCCACAACAAATGGGATGGCATGGTCATTGCTATTTAGGGCAGCTTCCCCAAGCAGTTTCTTCAAGTCATCAAAAGCTGTGAGCGCTTCACGGTCCAGAGGATCCACTTAGTGTAATAAGCAAACATACCAAGTACACGTTGAAGAGCCGATCGGTTTGTAGGTGGTGGAAGTTCTTGCAGTGGTTTTAGCCTTTCAGGATCTGGTTTGATTTGACCATTTCCAAGTTGATAACCCAGAAGACTGATTGTTGTTGCTGATATTGTAGATTTGGATGTATTGAATATCAGCTTCCTTTCCTCAGCAGCAGCAAGAAATTTCTCAAGATTTGTGTCATGTTCTTTCTGATCCCGACCACCTATGGTAATATTGTCAAGGTAGGGAAATGTGTCACATAGATTCTCCTCCTCCACGAACTTGTCTATGGCTCTTCGAAAAACGGCAACACCATTAGTGACACCAAATGGTACACGTGTGAATTGATACAGCCTGCCATTTGCTTCAAATGCTGTAGTAAAGGGTTTATTAGACTCGCTAATGCGTAGTTGATGGTATGCGCTCTTTAGATCAAATGTTGAGAACACATGGTACCTAGCAAGAGTGTTGACCATTGTTTCACTGTTTGGCACTGGATATGCGTCGAGATTGGTGTAAATGTTCACCGTAGAAGAGTAGTCGATGCACATTCTTTTTCTGTGACAGCCTTGCAATCACCACCTGTGCACGCCAAGGTGATATACTTGATTCTATGATGCCTTCGGACAGTAAGCGTTGTATTTCTTAGGTTGTGAACTTTTGGTCATCAGGGCTAAGCTTCCTAGATTTGGTGACTATTGGCTTTGCATCTCCTCTCATGTGTGCAAATAACAGTGGTTCTGACATACCTGCTGATGCCAGACTACATACAGGCTTGTTACCAATGTTGGAAATCTTGAGCTCAGGTCTGGGTCCTCCATACTCTATGGTAACTGAAGAGTGTTGTTTTTGGTAATCTATGCCGAGAATAACACCACAAAGATTCTCAATGACGCCCAGACATGTGTTTGGATAATGACTGTCATTCATATAGAGATCCACCGTACATTCACCTATCACAGAAGCCGTTGAAGAAGACGTTGCCAGGGTTATACTTTGGGAAATGGGTTTGATGTGAAGCTTAAGCCGATGGGTCACTCTCTTGTCAATGAAACTCTCAGAACTTGCCGAATCAATAAGGCCGGAGATTCGTCTTCCATTTATCTTTAAGTTTGTAGCAGAGCAATTCAGGCAATGAGGAACAGCAGCTGAGATGGCACAAAGAGTAGGAGATGAAATTGATGCCGTGACCTGTTTCTTACCCTTAGTCTGACAGACTTTTGCCCAGTGCTCTCTTTTTCCACATGAAGAGTAATCACTATCTTTAGCTGGACATCTCGCCCGTAAGTGAAGACTGCCACCACAAAACCAACATCGTTTCTTAGTGGTCATACTAGCAAGTGTTGAGTCCTCAACTGGACGTATATCTTGTTGATTAGTGTACGGTAACTTAACAGTTTCCTCCACACATCCTGAAGTTGCTGCAATAACAGGGCCTAGTGGCTGGAAGGCTTCCGAAGTACGCTGTGCAAGATTCAAGGATCTAGCTTGATCAAAGGCTTGAGAGAGTGTGAGAGCCTGATTTTCCAATAGTCGTTGACGTATATTTTCAGAAGACAGTCCGTTGATGAAGGCATCCCGTACTAACTCTTCACGATATAATTCGGCTGTGACAGCTTTTATAGTACAATCTTTGCTGAGTCTGTGCAAGTCGCGAAGAAATTCATCTAGTGTTTCGGAAGGACGCTGACGTCTTGTGGCGAGCTGGTGTCTGGCGAATATCTCATTTTTCTTTTTCACATATACCTTTTCCAACACTTGTATAGCTGTTTCAAACTCCGTAGCATCAGCGAAGTATTCATAAACAACAGCAGACACATATTTTGTCAAACATCGTAGTTTGTCAGGTGCTCTGTCTCCACACTCATCAATAAAGTTTTCAAAAGTTTTACGCCAATGCTTGTATTCCTTCTCAGCAGCTGGGGAATTTTGATCATCACCAAGCTTGTCGGGGCAGAGTATACATTCCATGTTGCTAGTAGAATATGAGTTGAATAAATTGTCGTATGAGATCAAACACCTTCAGTAATCAAGGCTTTATTCAACTCATAAATCCATATACATCTGCAACGAACAAAGCAAAACCCAATTAGAACAAGATAATATTTATAGTAAAGGTAAACACAAACATAATTTATTCCATAATAGACACTTTACATATTATGCTGGTCAGGTTCACCGGTCTATAGTTGTTCGTGGAGTGACTATCGCCATTCTTGAAGATAGGACTCACATAAGCCACATTCCATTCACTGGGGACCATTTGTTTATCCAGGCATTTACAAAACAGGATCTTCAGGGGCGCTGCACAACTCTCTTAGCACTCTAGGATGCACCATGTCAGGGACTCTTATGGACCTTTAGCTTTGACAGTTTATTTCTAATACCCTCTTCTGTGAACACAATGTGGGTCAGTGCTGTGTCGAACAGTCTGTCCTCAAACGCAGGAAGGTTAGTTGCATCCTCTCTTGTGAACACCGAGGAAAAGAAGCTGTTCAATGCCACAACTTTATCCTGGTCAGAATCTGCGTAACTACCACCTTCAAGCCTCAGGTCTGATACTCCTACTCGGGTTTTTAATTTCGACTTTGCATAGCGGTAAAATGCCTTTGGGTTTGACTTGACCTTGCTTGCAACCAGCCTCTGGAACTCCTTTTCAGCCCTTCTACACTCTATCTTTGCTTGGTTTCTGGCTCTTGCATACATCCTCCTGTCTTGCCCATCGTTTGACCCAACCCACGTCTTGAATTTCTGGGTTTTCTTCTTAACTTTGTCGTCCGCCGCATGGTTCATGTGTAAGGATCCCCTCGTATTCCTAGAAGCACTGGGTTTGGTCTTGGGTATATATTTATCGATCAAATGGGTCTCTTTACTAGTTATGATATTTAGCGTAGTGTCTGCGTTCTTGTGCCTGAATGAGTCAGGCCACTTGATACCCCTCATCTCTTCCCTCATCCCGTTGTAATTTCCCTTGTAATATTTGCACCTTGGCCTGGCCTTATCCTGAACTAGGTAACAGTTAAATCTGAATGACAACACTATATGGTGACTGGTGCCAACTGGGGCAAGGTGTTCCAGTTTGGCCACCATACCCTCCTCGTTTGTTATGATGAGGTCGAGTGGCTTGGGTGTTTGCTCTCCTCTGTAATGTGTCGGGTCTCTAACATGTTGGAACAGAAAATTATCTCTCAGAGTTTCTACAAAACAGTAGCAGGGTTATTCAAGTCATTTGGGGTGAACTCGTTTTTCCAGTAGATGTCGCCATAGTTAAAGTCCCCCATGATAAGGAGGTGGCTAGGGTTGAGCATCGCCGCGTTGTCTATTAAGGCTCTTAAGTTCCTTTGATTTAGTGGGCCACAGTTTGGGGATCTGTAAATACACCCGACGATAAGACTACCCTCTCCCTGAATATAACCCATGTACACCCGTCCCCGTTCCTCCTCGACTCTTCCCTTCTCTGCTTCAAGACCTGCAGGTGCTTCTAGTGCTGTTCCCTCTGTATTACCGTGCGATCTGGGTGAATGAATACACTCCGAAATGCCTCGCTCCTAGCTAAGTTTTTTGCCTGCCGTAATAACTTTCCATTTCTCCTCCTCACTCACTAGTGTGATCCTGAGGGGACGAGGCTTAGCCCCCTGCTTTTGTCCCAGCCTCCTCACATCCTGAGGGGTTGATGGCATCTTCAGAATCTCTGTACAAATATTATGGATTTGCATCTTATCGTGTGTTATCCTACTCTCAGTTCCCTCCGCCTGGCTCTCACATTGTTTCTGCGCTAGAAATATTCCCGTTGTTCCTCCTCTCCCCTAACAGTATGTCCGCTAATTTTCATTTCTTCGACACACTTCTTCAGAGTCCCTAGCTACTGTAGAACCTGTTCTGATCCTGTATTACTCTCCGCCATCTCCCGTAGCCCTGCTAAGGCTTCAGCATAACTCCTCTTAGGAACCACGTCCATTCTATCGGCTACTTCCTCAGTCTTTTTCCCAACTTGTTCTAGTTAAAAAAAACAGCAAGGGAACTCGTTCTCCTATGGCTTGCAATCGCCTCTTTCACCTTGACTATGCAGTCAGAGCAATACCAGCAACAGCCTTCATGCTTTACGGCAACTTGCATCGTCCTAAACACTGCATTGGTCAGGCCTGTACCATCTATATCCGTCGTTCCCTGCAGTAATCACATACCATACCCTTCATGGTTGTTGTTGTTGTGGGGGTGCAGACTGTGTAGAGCCACACCTATTTAAAAAAAAAAAACAGTCCTTAGCTGTCCTCTGCTGGTATTAGCCTCCCTTGTTGCCTTTAGGGTTGTCTTCTGTTTTTCTTTTTTTTTTCAGTTCACTTCGGCAATTTGTCGGTATTTATGTGCTATCTCTATGTACACTGCATTTTGCTATGAATAACGGATTTTATACACCCACTCAGTCCTTTAGAAACACAGAAAAAGAAAAGAAACCTTTCTTTGGGGCGATAATAGAATGCCTTTTAGGATAGCCAAGCTTGGTGATTTTTTATTGATTTTTTATTTTAACTATTATTCCCTTATATTATTGTATCCAGTTCTCATCAACGACTATATCTCTTTGTGCTATCACTGTGTACACTGTATCTCCCTGTGAATGGTGAGATTTATGCGCGTTACCGCTGGTTTTCATTCTCTTTCATACCTATTCGGGGACACAAAACCATTTCCATGTACGGTTCCACCCTGTTGGAGTGGCAATGAATTAAGACGTATTCAGCAAGCAAAAAATTTAGCAAGAAGTGATGAATTTCGGAATATATTCATAAACTCAGGTTGCACGGTAATGTAGAGGGAACAGCACAAAAAAACTCCTACAGTGCTTGAAGCAGAAGAGGGAAGGAACGGGCAAGTGCGGCGGTACAGAACCAGGTGACAGCGGGACTCCCCCCACCTGCTCTACCTCCCTCCCAGGAGGGGCAAGTGCCATGCAAACAATGTCATCTGAAACCACACCCCACAAAATACAGCTGCAGCTGCTGAGAATGGGGGAGACCGAAGTCTCACTACCAAGTTCAGAGACGTTACCGAGAACAAATTCCGTCTTGAAAAAAAAAAATTGAAAGTCATGTGTACATCAATATTGACACATTCCTTGATAAGAGAGCGGAGTTTGAAGCCCTATTCAAAGTACATCAACCCGATATAGTAGGTGTGGAAGGACTGTTGTACGAGAACAGGAGACTCGACCCCGAGGAATGTGGGTAAGTTCAAGATAGATGGATATGACTCATTTGCGAACCTTTCTCATGCGAGAAGGGTGTGGTTATCTATGCTTAGAGCCAGCCAAGTGAGGGTACAGTGAGAGGATGTTTTTGAAGAGTCCAAGTGATGTTAAATTAAATTAAAGGGGATAGACTTATTTATTGTCGGATGTATCTACAGGTCCCAAAACTGTAGCTTATTAAAGCAAAGAAACTTTAGAGCCTCAATTGTCAACGCAACGGCGCTCAACCCAAACCACCGCCTTGTCATGGGGGACTTTAACTATACCGACATCGACTGGAGAAATGAGATCACGACAAATGACTTTAATAACTCTGTTATTCCTTTTGTAGAAATTCTTAGAGACAATTTTCTATTACAACATGTTAAAGATCTGACTCATTACAGAGGGGAGCAAACACCCAAACCGCTAGACTTCATCATAACTAACGAGGAGGGTATGGTGGCCAAAATGAAACACCAGCCACCACGTAACGGTGTCCTTCAGATTTAACTGTTAATTGGTTCATGATAAAACCAGGCCAAGGTTCAAATATGAAAGGAGTAATTACGACAGGATGAGGGAAGAGATGAGGGGTATTCACTGGACTGACTCATTAAGAACGCAGATTCTATTTCATCGATAAATATATATACCCAAGACCAAACCCAGTGCCTATAGGAACACAAGGCGACCGCTACACATGAACCATGCGGCGGTCGAGAAAGTTAAGAAGAAAACTCAGAAATTCGAGACGTGGATTAGGACAAATGATGAGCAAGACAGGAGGATGTATGCCAGATCCAGGAGCCAAGCAAAGTCAGAGTGTAGAAGGGCTGAAAAAGAGTTCCAGAGACGGATTGCGAGTGAGGTCAAGTTAGTCAAACCCAGCAGCGTTTTACCGCTACACAAAGTCGAATTTAAAAACGCGAGTAGGTGTATCGGACGTGAGGCTTGAATATGATATTTACACAGATTCTGACCAGCTGGACAAGGCGGAGGCGTTGAACTAATTCTTTTCCTCGGTGTTCACAAGAAAGGTTGCGAACACTCTTCCTGCTGTAAGGGGGGGGGGGTAAATAGGTTTTGCTATTTATCTTTTTCATTATCTTATTAATATATATGTGTAAGAGGAGAGATTTTATCTTTAATAGATTTTTTATTTCTCTTTTCTGTAAGTATAACTCATATCACTTTCTTTTATTTCTTTGGTTATGTGTTCTTAGTTATTTCTATGTCTTATATAACCTTCTTTAATTTTCTTAGTTATATTATCTTTTATTTTCTGTTCTACTTGCTAATTATTTTCTAGGTTATTTTCTAAGTACTGTATTGCTTTCAATGTTTTTATTTCTTTCGGTATTTCAATATTCTTTACCTTTCTTTTCTATATCTATATATTTTTCTTTCAATGTCATTGTTTGTTTCTTATATTTTCCTCGTACTTCTTTCAGCATTTAGTATTGCTTATTGTGTATATTTCCTCTTACTTCTATTCTAAGCTGTACTTAGTTACTGTATATTCTATTCAATGGATTAACCTGGGAAAACCATATAATTCTTTAAAAACACCTATTGGCATAATTATTATATTTACACGGTAGACTGTCACTACCCAGGCATTTATTAGATTATAACGTATATTTTTTTTTTCAATTTCAATTGTTTATTCCTTGATAGAGGAAGCGGGATCCTAGTGCTGTCACTAGGTACCCCTGTACAATAACACCAGAAGCATCTGGCA